TCGTCCCAGCGTGGCCGAGCAACAGCTGACAAAAACATCACCTTGGTAATGAATCTCTTGGACTTGCAGGTGCGATGGGGTGGCTCTTCGCCAGGTGCAAGGTAGTAGGATCGCTTGACCCTGGTGGCGTAGAACCACTTTTCGTCCACGTGGACGCATTGCATCATGTCGTCAAACAAGTACACTGACGGGGACAGTGCATGGATGTGGTCCATGGCCCAACTCGTCCGCACGACTTTGTTGGCATCCGTCAGAGATGGACGCACGGAGCTGTTGTACTTGACGAAGATGCCGCGGCGGTAGTATGCATGCAGGGTTCTACGCGGCATCCCGAGTGCAGCAGCAATAGACCGAAACATGGTGCGGCTGGCCTTAGGAACAGCCTTCAGGCGATTCGCCACGTTCTCGTGCTTGAGGTTCCGACCTGAGTGGCCCTTTTTTCTGGACGACACGTCGGAACATGGTCGAAGTTTGTTGTCGAGGTCGACGTTGGCACGTTTCCACACTCGCTGCACAGTTCCACGATGTACACCAAAGTCCAATGCAATCTTATTTAGTGCACCACGGATCAACTTCTTGTTGTCCACCAAATGGGCCATGAGCTGCTGGAGAATTGCCTCCCGGTCGTTCTTGGTGAGGTCCTTCTTCTTGGCGCGCATCGTCGATCAAGTGTCAACTTTATGCCAAATCATACGGATAACGGATATCCGGATAAGTTTGTAAGGAAATCTCAAAAACGATGCACATCTTATACTGGATAAAGTGTACTTGACCCAATCCAATGGAGTTGATTTGATTGGATGAATTCTGGTGCGAAAGTGTTTCATTGGTGTTCATCAGTTCGTCCTCTATCCGTACATATCCTTGGATTCAAAATATTCGACTTTGATGCACTTCATTTTCAAGATATTCCGCTTGTTGCAAGAATTTACGGACAGAGGTAGTAATAGGTTCACAAGTTCTACGTAGTAATAGAATGTCCATTCATTCATTAACCAGAAAAAGCAAGGTGAAATAGGCAACTTATGCCGCGTAAGGTGAACCACCTTGCGAATTGCATACAGTAAATGTTCTGAAATTATGTAGTGTTTCAATTAACAGTAAATATATATTCAAGTTTGTATTGGAGATTCGGTACGAATTTCCGGACCCCCCTCAATCGAATCTCGCCAGCCGAACCGGGCCCAAATCTCTCCCATAGGTTAAAATTAATTCATGCGTATAATTGGATATAATAGTAACCAATCAAACAAGACAAAACACTCGACGTTTCATTTTGATTGTCATTCACAGCACAACTCGCGGATTTGAGACGGATGCAGGCAACAACACCACCAACTCTCACCGATTGCCCCTTCAAGAGCACGAGGTCATCTCAAAGCCCCCCTCCCTAGTCTCAGGAACCCCAACAGTCTCAACGAAATTGTACTAGATCCATTGATCAAGGATACTGTTGGCCAGCGAAACACATCCGCTGTAAAGTTAGCGCCGTACGTCTTCGGGGGTTCCACTTGGAGCGAAATCCAAACCAAGATCTTTAAGAAGTTCAAAACGAAGTGTCTTGGGCTTGCCGAACGCAACGACGATGGCGCATGGGCCGTATTGGACGACGACATTAACGAGTCACACTTTGGACGTATCTTTGCGTTGCGTTACGGGAGCCACACTAAGTAGCTGGAGGATGAGTCGAAAATGAACGAGTGGCTTGTTTCGATACGAAGCGCACGCATCTCGTTGTTGATTTACAAGTACGGGAACGAAGTCGCCACAAAGGATCAACTGGTTGACTTCACAACAAGTTGCGTCGCCCCAAGGAACCAAGATCGATCTGGTGCCCCAACGGAAGCCACTATTCAAGAGTATATGGCCAAGTTGTACACCAAATGGGATGACACATGAGAGGCTGCCTACCCTATCTGGCGGATTTGGGCCACCTATGTTGTGAAACCGCCGCTCTTGGCTTGAGAATCCCGAGTCCAGCTAAATGCCGCCTCAACACGTGCTTGCTCGGCTAAAACCAAGGATATCGGGGCATCAAGTTCGCATGGAATCGTTTCACCGTCATATTCGATCAGCATTGGACGTTGTGGATGCGTCCCTCGCCGAGCTGGACGATTTAGCTGGAGCTGTTGATATTGTCATGCATCGTTTGAAAATATTTCAGCGGGGACTAGCGAACAAAAGGGAAGTTCTTGTTTCAATGGAAACAGATCTAGCCCCAATACCACACGATGAGGTAGTTATGACTGAATTGAACGATATTGAAAATATCGACGACATGGATCATGACTACACCATGGATGACATGGAATAAAGCAATATCAAAGTTCTTCAGCACTGTTCGTTTGAATCATCTGCATCTTAACTGTAGTAGATCTAGGAGTAATTGTCACAAGACAAAACACTTGATTTCTAAATCACTGGTATCGATACTAACATCGCCCAGACGAACTTTACCATGTTGGAGGCCTTTGCATGGGTCAAAGCGACCGGTACTCAACCAACCGCAGTGTGCCAATACCTTGGACATGTTAAGGTACTTCATTTTGCTCATGATTCGCACCACAAACAAAATTAAGCTCTGCTCAGTTCGACATTCTGCATAATTGCACAGTTCGACATTCTGCATAATTGCACTGAAATGACTTCTTGAGATATCCAAAAAAGTACTCAATGGGGTTGTAAAACGGGCAATAGGCAGGAAGGAATATTGGCACAACGCCAATTTCTCGGAGGTACATCACAATCTCGGCATGGCAATGTATCTTGGCACCGTCCAGGATCCACACAGAGTTGCCACCAGGGTGCATCGCAACAAGGCCTGAATGAGCGAACAAAGTGCAGCACCGTACAAAGGTTGCTCGGTCAAAGGTTCCCTCAGTGTCATAGTAGTCCAGCAAACCGTCAGCTCCGATGAAACAAAGCAGTGACACACGGGGTTTGCGGTTAAATTCGCCCCGGAAAACAATCTTTTCACCCCGCATCGAGTACCCACGTTTGCTTAGTATGCCGCGATTATCGAAACTGATTTCATCAAGGAAGACAATGTTGCGCTGGCTCCAATGTATGCTGTCAACTTCTGCCACGAACCGGCAGATGTCTTGCTGATTGATTTGGATTGCTCGTCGCTCCAACACTTTCCAGGTCATTCCGTACTCGTGGATGATCGTCCAAACATGGGATATGCTGATGGACTGCTGAAACTTTCGAAGGAATTCCTCCTTGGCCTCGTCCAGAAACGACATGGCTGCCCTTGGTAGTACGCGATGAGCCAGTCCTTCTGGTACTGCTTAAATGTTCGTGTTTGGAGTGCATTCTTCCGACTGTAGGTTCCAGTGTCGTTGTAGCGTTGAACCCAGTTGGCGATGGTCTTCTCGTCTTTGTGATAGATCACGACCAAGCGGCTTTTCTTGATCCCCAAGAAGTAGCCATACAAGCAATGCATCACTGTGTTTGAGCTGGCGTGGCGGGCGACTACGGACTCGATCGCGCTCATGTGTCACTGTACGGAGAGGATTATGCTTGCGTTGATTGGTTATACATATTAGCCAATCAAAAGTGTTGGCGAGGTTTCGGATCGGTTTGAAGAACAGAGCGAAATCCGGAAATTCACGTCATATCGACAATATTGTTGATTTATATTTTCATGTGTCTGTCTGTTTTTGGAATTCACAAGGTAGTTTACCTTGCGAATTCAAAATTGTCCAATGTGTCCAATCAGATGCCGTGAAATCACGAAAATCGCTGCGCAGATTTATCACGCCCTGTTGCGACATACTGTACAGTGATGGAAGAAAGGTTAAGACACAAGATAATTACTTTCGTTCATACCGAAGGAAGTGAAGTGAGGCTCTGTGATTTTGGAATTGGTCCCAACAAACAGGTTAAAGAGGATATGCATACTCATTTGCGGCAGAAATGACGAGGACTTCCAGCTATATAAAAATTCTTAGTGTCAAACCTGGTATTCAGAATAGGACATTTCACAAAGAAAGAGTTTTGAAGGCTTAAACTTGCAGCAACACACCCTAGTATGGTGTCATTGCACCATTCGCCTCTACGACAGCTACGCAACGTCGTGACATCGACTCGACTTAAACTTGCAGCAACACACCCTAGTATGGTGTCATTGCACCATTGGCCTCTACGACAGCTACGCAACGTCGTGGCATCGACTCGACCAGTCGTTTCATGAGCCATACGTCCAGCTTTGCCCACTCCACCTTGATCGAGGCAGTCAGGTCTTCCACGCTATGGTATTGCTTGCCACCATGGTAGACACCGCGCACAAGCATTCCCCACAGGTTTTCGATCGGGTTGAGGTCCGGAGACAGGGCTGGATGGTCAAAAAGGGCGACATTTTCGCCTCTCAAAAAATCCATGGTCTTCTTCGACCGATGGATTGACGCGCCATCTTGCATGAAGTTGATTTCATCACCGTAGAGACAGTGAGCAAAGGGGACGAGATAGTCTTGAAGCGTCCAGATGTACTTGTCTGAGTCTTGGTTGCCTGCCAAGAACGCAAGCTCGCTCGCCCCGTCGCTCGAAAACGCCCCCCAGACCATCACACTTCTCCCTCCAAATTTGCGCGAGAAGTACGTTTCCTTCTCGTGGCGAATGTCACGCCAGTACGACTGCATACCTTCTGGGCCATCAAGGTTAAATTTCTTCTCATCCGACCATATAATGGTCGACCAGTTGGGGGGGAATTCAAGGTGCTTTTTGGCATGGGCAAGGCGAGTGCGAATGTGGTCATCCGTCAGCTTGGGGGTGACGTTACGCTTCACGTATTCGAACTGAATGCTTGCTTGGAGCATGTAGCGTACGTAGCGAGACGACACAGACAATTGAAGATCTTGAACAATCGATTTGGACGATGCACCTGGCTTACTCGCGGTCCTAAAAATGTGCCGAGTGTCATTTAACGTCAATTTCGACTTCCTTCCGTGCCCAAAACGCTTGCCATAGTTGTCAGGGTCCTTGAGGTAGTTCGAAATGGCCGTGCGGGAAACGCCAAGGCTCTTGGACATGAATATCACTGTTTCGCCGTTGGCCTTCCACACGACGATTTCACCGCGCTGAAACTCGTTGAGCTGAGGTCCACGGCCCATTTGACGTACGGGAGGTGTTGTGTAGAGCTGTTTAGAGGAAGTGGTTCAAATCGATGGTGATTATAAGCATTATTGCGTCCTCTAGAGGACGTTAACTGAAATGTCCTATCCTGACTTCCATACTGGAAATGCTTAGCCACCGTCTCTACCTCGCAATGTGGCAAAACAGCAACCGGCTCGTACTGTTATCTTGTCAACAGATGTTGACGCTGCGACAGAGCTATTTTTAGAGCCGAACAGCGCACAAAGACGCCAGTAAAGTCTAAATTGGGGTGTGTCTTAACCTTTCTTCCATCACTGTATTATAGTGTACTCGGTCCATGCGAACAGGTCTAGACTTCAGTAACATCACCACTTGCCTACTAAGGGCAACCCCACTGGTAAGACTGTAAAATACCGTTTTACAGTTCCTATATCTTGATTTTCGTCACCCCCAGCGGTAAAACGGTAAAAAATCCGCATAATGATCATATCCGGAAATGAACCTGAAGGCATTAGTTTGCCTTAGATGACGGTGATGATGTGGAATTCACTTGTGATATCCTTGACCACCTTCCCGCCCTATATAGTCAATAGTAGACCGCCATTCCAACCTGCACCTGGATAGTCAGGCTGAAGATGCTTGACTATGTTGGGACTGCTGTACTTCGGTCTCACAGTCAATTTACAGAATGGAGAGCAAAGCTCACCCACGCTTAAGTTGGTCAAGGTCGTTATACTGTAGGTATATGGACTCACCATGCACGATGCGGTTGAGAATGACGACTGTTCTAAGCAACGGGTTGATGGAAGTAAGGAAAATCAGTCATTCACACCTGAGAATTTGTGTTACTGCTCAGCGAAGGTTGTGCTTTGGTTGTGCTGCCGATGCACTCGACGAGTTTAGTGAAGTGTGAGGCACGAGCGCGATTTGCTCAAAGGAAAGTGATTATTAACTACATGACACCGATGATTGGACAAAAATATCCATTGATAACGTGTTATTGGCTCATTCGTGAAAACTGTATTTTACAGTCGCAACTGTAAATCTGGCCGATTTGCAGTCTTGCGGTAAAATTATACAGTTTCCTGTATTTTACAGTCGCCTGGTGGGGTGGTCAAAACTGTAAATAATCAGGATAGAACTGTAAAATACAGTAAGTTCTCGCTTAACGTTAAATCCGCAGCCACTAACTCCGCATTACTCACGTTTTGATTCAAAACATCCTGCTGAGAACACAAATTAAAAAACGAAGAACGAAAAAAGTTATATTATCATTTCGGCTATTATCGATGCGATGTATTCATCGGAATTTCGGTCATCACAATGCAAAAAACGATTCATATCACTAGTCTCGAGTCCATGGTTCTGCGCAAGCACATCCAGTTCGACTACTTCGTCATCTACGTTGTCATCACTACTTACGATGTTAGACGAAAAGTTGACTCCGATATCCGCCTTCGCAAACGCGTTCTTAATCGTTGACGATGACACATTTTCCCAGGCAGCTTTAATGTAGCTCGCTGCGTCTAGCACGTGAGCCGGACGACCATATTTGACACCCGCAGAGCCTGGAAGTTTGTTCTTGGCAGCTCGTTCAACGCTATCCTTGAAGACGTCGTCCAACTCATAGAATGAAATGACATCGCCCAGCAGTAGAAATTTGTAACGCTTCTTCAACGCGGCAATAATGCCAAGGTCACATGGTTGACGCCACGTGGTACAGTTCGGAGGTAAAAATACGACACGGACGTCATCCTCTTCGAAGGCCTCGAAGTGACCGGGCGCATTGTCCACAACAAGTAGTACTCGGTCTGATGTGGCAGCACGAACGGTCGGAACAAACACCGAATCAAACCACTCACGACAGATCGTTCTGTCAACCCAGGCCCGTTGCTGTTGAAGATACGGCGTTGGCCACTCGTTGCCAACTATGCAAGCTGGTCGCATGGCTCGACCGACAATGGCACAAGGAACTTTGATGGACCCGTCTGCGTTGCAACACACTATAACAGTCACTCGCTCCTTTGGCACCTTGCGCCCACGCGTCGATGCTATGTCTTCTTCCGGGGCCAAAAAGGAGTATCGAGGTAGAACGCAGAAGAAAAGGCCCGTTTCGTCCATATTGAAGACGCAGCTGCTGTTGTAGCCAACGACGACATCAGCCAAGGCGTCAAGCTTTGCCAGGAGTTCAGGATCGGTTTGGTCAACGTCAGCAGCTTCACCGTAAAGCGTGATAGACTTGACGTTGTACCGTTGGCATAACTACTGCATCCAACCCGGCGAACCACAAAGTCATCGGAAGAGATGCCAATCTCCTTGGCAATGGTCGTGGCCTTGACGTTTAGGATCGATGGAGGTACAGGTAGCTTTAGTTGGAGCATTTGTATTATCCACTTTAACAGCAGATCTTCGAGTTCTTTGTACGTCGCTTCCCTGAAACGATACCGTGTTGCCAAGACGTTTGCAAGGATACCATCGGGTCGTTGCAGTACTGTTGCTCGCTTCTTCCAGAGCTGCCGGATGGCAGACTCGTCCACGGCGTATGAACGGGCTATGGCTCGCACGGACCGTATGCGCGTACCAGCAAGTTCATCGAGTACGGACAAACGCTCGACTTCGGTAAGGCGTTCGCCTCCCCCACGAACCATCGCTGAAATGAACTCTGACCACCAATGCATGTTTGATGATACAGTAGTGTTGTATCTACAGCACCACTTCGTCCTGATTACTATCAGTAACGTTATTAATTTTTTTGTATTTTTATTCTAAATTGTAACTCCACTAACTCCGCACGTGTCATTCCAACCCTGTGCTGGCTGTGCGGAGTTAAGCGAGAACTTACTGTACTACTCTGGTATCAAATGATAGTTGGGTTTGTGTTCTTATTGGTGGGATTTTTCTAAATTTGCATATTCTGTACATCTGATTGATTGGTTGAATGGCGCAAGCTCCCTGCATCGATTGGCTCTGTTTTGAGCGTTCCAATTCGTTTTCACTCAAAAATTATGGCTGGTCAAAGTCGAAGTCGCAACTAAAATCCAACCACACATACCCGCCGAGAGCTCATTTATCAAATTAGACCGTCGTTGTCAATACAAGATACATTCGTAAGGCTCTATTGATGCCGTCTGCTACGCCACCGAGCTCTCTACCGTCAGCCGCTTCCTCTCGAGGACTAAGAACCCTTCAACACGAGGAGCGTGTCGCCATCTATTAATCGCTGCTACAAGTCAGCTCAAACGGTCGACTTCCACGTGGAGCCTTCGTACGCTCAAACCTACCAATGTCACTGGTCAACCATTACACGCTTGTGGGTGCGGGCTCGTGAGTCTCTACGCCAAGGTAGTCGGACCGCCGACGTCAGCTACAAAATTCGCTGTAAACCTCTCTAATTTAATATTTTCCCAGTATTTTCCATTTGTCACGAGTATTAAGTCTTACGAGATTGCATGTTAAGGTAATTCCGGCCGAAAAAGGACCCGCACGCACGACAAAATCAAGGCGGCAGTCCAAGGCGTGGACATGTATGCTCGACAGACCCTACGAGAGCTTGCAGCACACAGTGGTACCCCCAAGACCACCATCGTGCAGCGCATGAAGGACGAGAAGCAACTCCAAGCAAGATCAAGGTACGTCCGACCCCACTTGACCGACGCCAACACGGACGCACGGATGAAGCATGTCATGAACTTCCCCAACCTACGCCAAATGGGAACCAAGTTTTCGCCCATATGAATTCGTACATTCATGTCGACGAAAAGTGGTTCTTTTTGACGCAGGTGAACAGTTCTATGTTTACAAGGAAGAGGTCATCCCAACCAGCCGGGTCAAGTCGAAGCGGTTCATTACCCAAGTCATGGTTTTGGCGGCGGTGGCTTGAACCCGCTACGACTTTCACAACAAGGCGATGTTCCACGGCAAGATCGGTATATGGCCCTTCGTGGAGCGCCTACCTGCGCAGCGCAACAGCAAGAACAGAGCAAAGGGGACTATGCTTACCGTCCCTCAAAGCGTCACGGCGGACGTTTACCGCTCGATGATCTTTGACAAGGTCGTACCTGCAATCCAAGCAAAGATGCCAAGGCGTGATCAGACCGGAACGATCATGTTGTAACAAGACAATGTGAGCCCCCACAATTGCGTCACCACAAAAGTCGAGGCGTTCAAGGGATCGCCACCATTAACCAACCACCAAACAGCCCTGACATGAAAATTTTAGATTCAGGATATTTTAACAGTATTCAAAGTCTTCAGAGTCAAAAGTGTACTCGAACAGTCGAGGAGCTTATTGATGCTGTAGAAAGCTCATTTTATGAGCAGCCTTGTGATACACTTTCGAAAACCATTATTACTTTGCAAAAGGTGATTGAGAAGACACTTGAAAGATTGGGTACAAACGATTACAAGCTCCCGCATTTGAGTTAGGATGCTTCCATAAAGGACTTGACTTCTTCAATGTCAAGTGTGATCAACTTATCTACGACCGTGCTGTCGATCACTTGAGCGGACTTTGAATTCTCTAAAAACAGGACTCCACGCGCAAGAAGCACATGGACGAGCTGCATGAAGCGATGGAACAGCTGCACCGCGAAGTGGCTGTGACAAGCGCCAAGAAGCGACGCCAAGCCCGCGACCGCCAAGCCAAGTCCATGGCCGTCCAGGTGCAGAAGTATGTGATCGGCGACGTTGTCCTCGTTGGCCAAGTTCCCGCCAAGGCAACAAATTGTCCCTGCACTGGCGCGGCCCAAGCAAGATCGTCCGAGTCGAGACTGACTATGTCATGGAGACCCAGCAGTTGGTGCATCCTTACGAGTTGTCCCTCCACCACGCCTGCCGACCCAAGATGTATTGCGAAGGCGGCCGCGATGTGACCGAAGACCTAGCCGACCATATTGCCTTTGGCAATGAAGGGTTCCATGTGGCCAAGCTCGGCGACGTCCGAGTAGAAAACCGCGAATACCAAGCCCTCGTCTACTGGTTTGGCCTCGATGAAGACGAAGCCTCATGGAAGCCCGTTCGCTCCCTCTATGGAGACATCTCCATCGTTTTCCGCCGCTGGGTTCACCAACATGAAGACCAAGAAGAAGTGAAGCAAATGGCCACTGAACTCGAGAAGACCCTCGGACACCCCCTTTAGGGGGAAGTGTTATGCATGGCGCTGCAGAAAGACCTATGAGCCTTTTTAGAGGTCGGCTCATGGTCTCATGATCGGTAAGGCCGTTAGTCTGCATTATGTGCAGCAGGCCGCCATTCGTCGTGCGGTTGAAAGATGTGCATTGTTGGCGCATTTTCATTGGACGAAATGATTAGACTTAAAATAGACCAGAAAAAGTAATGCGTAGTAAGAGACCTCAGTTTGCAATTTACATTCTACGGAATTCGTAGGCCAGAACTTGACTTTTGTATGCAATCGTAGGCGCACACCCCTACGATTTCGCCATTTCACATTTCGAAATCCTCCACCTCGTTTTTTTTCCAAGTTATATACGAATTTGTAGCAAACATAAAATTTCGCAGTTCATTTGTGAATTGACGAAATCGTAGGGAGCTGGTCCTACGATTTTCATATCCAATGAGATCTCAAGAAAATCACAAATTGCCAATCCTCCTCTATCGCACACGTCACATCCCAAAAGGGAGTGTGAGGCTTCCTAATGGTAATGCCATTGATAGCACTAGGTATGTCACATTAGCAGTGCGCAAGTTGTGCTGCGTTGTGTACGTAGTAGGAAGGAGCGATCGTTATGGAAGAGTTATAGTGATACTAGTATGTTGATAATCGAGCTGGACGCGTTTGCGAATATCAAGACATTATGGAAATTCTTACTAGTATGTGGGCCATAAGCACACAAGAGAAATAAGTATATCTCTGTTATGAAGCAAGTATTGAACTATTTACGGGTCAAGTTGTTGACAGTGGCCTATCTACATTTCTCCAATTCAAGTGCACACAACTGCATAAATTCTACTTCAGGAGTGTCGTTAATATCACGTGGTTGGATGTTTACCTTTGAGGACCTTGACGTACTAGTATGTAGTATGTACTTCGAAGTATGGCATTACATTACTCCATGCAGAGGCACGTTGGAGTCGTCCGACGGTAGCTGATGCCTTTCAACGGGCAAGGTCGTGGTGACGGAATGGATGCTTACTACAGTCAACGTTGATGTCGAAACTACTAACATAGTACATGACTATGATACTATTCCATCGACGTATAATTGCACTCGTATCATGCAGCCTGCCTTGCCAAGGACTATCCTCAATAGTGTTTCGTGATGGGCACGGATTTGTGATTGAATTATCCAATCACTGTACACGAGTGTTTTGATGGTTAAATATGAAATCGTAGGCAATCTCTCTATTAATACATACGAATTCCATAAATAAGTCAGTTAATTCGGCCTCCGCAAGAGGTCCCCGTCCGGATAACGACGGGAGCGAAAACAGACGGCACCCGAGCCCAGCACATCCACCAGAGCGCCCACTACGCCAAGAACCACCACTACCTATGCTTCGACAAGACGAGGACCAAGTCATACTGCATGACCATCGCCAGGCTCAAGCGTGCGGATAGGAGCAAGGTATTGCATTCTACCGGTAGTACTGTAGCTCACAATCCAATAGCTGCAGCCTACAGGTAGCAATGTAGCAAAGCGAATAACACGATCCTATTGGCCAGTTATTTTCACTTTTCCATCATATAATTGGACAGAAATTTGGTAAGCCAGGCTGCCTTTCGAATTCATCAAAAAGATGCGTTTAGAGGAATTTAAATTATTCCATACAAAGATGAAGCTTCATTCAATAAAATTTGAACTATTTCAGATCGATATATGGAATTCGTAAGGCAGCTCACCTTGCAAGCCTACAAACTGTAAAACCTACTGTTTCACCGTACGAATTCTGTATTATGTTCTTGATCCCATGTGCTATATATAAATCAATTAACCGATTGGCTCTTAGGGGCCGTGTCGTTGAAAAGCACACGGATCGCCTTTACAGCAAGCTATAAATCCATCAGAATATTATTCGCGTAGATAATCGAAATTAGATCGTAGCCAATCAGCGACAAGTAATATGGGATTGACCAATTGGAGTGGGGAGATAGGTGGAGGAAGGGGCCCGGGCCAATCGGTTTGCACTCATGCTTGTGTTCTCCCAATGAGTGAAAGAAGTAGGAAGCATAGCCCGAGGACGACGGTGGACTGGTTGGGGCCATGGTTTTGATTAATGAATGGTTATTCTCCTGATTCACAGTCTATTAAAACCCACCCCTGTTAATGGCTCTGGGGGGGTCACCCTCAGACCTCTCATGTCCATGTATCGTTTGTGTTTGAGTATCCAAATTGCTTAGGTCATGGGGGTAGTAAGTCTCATTGAAACTCTACGTTATTGTGGTACGCCGTTGGACGAGGTTCGCTGCAGTGTACTTCATTTCCGCCCCAACATCGGCACGCTGTTCATCCTTCTGTCCATGTTTATGGCGTTTGGGTACGTCTTGGCTGCGAGTGCGTCGGACGTGATGGTGGTCGAGTACGCCCAGCGAGTACCTGTTGGAATCCGTGACCGCATCTAGAATCCAGACCGCCATCTACGTCATGCGCTCGCTCGCTGGCATCCTCGCGTACTGGTGACTGCGTTCTCGCTTGGTGTAACAGACCCACAGGCGGTGATGACGTACCCGAACGTAGAAAACAAGAATAGCACGACGAACAGCGTGCTTTGGTTGAGGGGGGCGTCCAGGTTGAAGTGCTGGAGGTCGGCCGTCGGGACCATTTTCCAGCGGCGTCCACAATACTTGGTCTTTTCGCGGTTGAAGAACAGCTCGCCAACGACGAAACGTCATGATAATCAGACAGCTCGTCGCGATGGCCCGTCCGATCAACATCCACGGCTTGTGCTGGCAGTCGAAGATAGGGTTTGCCTTTGGGGGATGCAGCAATAACAACCAACTCCAACGACTCCAATTTGCACGCGCACACGAAATGTACACTGACATGACGTCATCCCCGTACGTCGGTGGTGTCTGTCGCTCTTTAGGTCGTTCTGGGACACCGTGAAAAACCAGGCGACGTCCTTGTAGACAATGCCGTCAAACGGGCTCATCGTGATCAGGCCAGGCCGTACGAGGCGCCGCCACTTCCACCGCCACAAACGTGGCCAGCGGGGACGTTGTCGGCCAGAGCCATGCCTTTACAGTACAGTACCCCTGGTTGCGCACGACGTCCCTGAGTCGCCTTCAAGCAGTACTTGACTTCGAAAGATGACACGCCCGTCGACGAGGATCACGTTGGTGGTGCCCACGAGATTGCTCACCGCTCATTTCACTACAGCTCCCATCAAGCCACCATGAACCAGAATTCCAGAGTAACGACTCGCTGTCTAGCATCTAGGGTGACTTGTTAAATACAGTAAAACAAGTGCCCAAGGATGCTAGCCATCGAATTGTTGATGATGGGTTCGACCCCCGACCAGTACGTAGCCACGTGATTACTACTTTATACCGTAACACAAAGCTTAGATGTTGATCGCCTCATTCATGGATCAATATTGGAACCGCCAGGACAACACGAGATATGCAATGCACATTTTACGCTACTTTAAAATGCAAGACATCTTTCTCTACTTGAGGGGGCACTTGCCCGTGTTGGGGTCCAACACTCCGTTGCCCCCTGCGATGCGGTAGCACTTGGTGGAGGGGAAGATGGACATGATGTTGCTGGACACGGCGAACGACACGCAGAAGAAAAACACGGACACGAGAATGAACCCTGCCACTTTGCTCTTACCACCGCGCGCCTTCAGGGCCTTCACTTCTGCCTTTTGTGGAGGCAGCAAGAACAGCCAAATCAACGACGCGGCCTTGGCCCCGTACGAAACAAAGTACACGTACGTGACATCCCACCGCACTTCGAGCGTGTCGGACTTGACATCATTCTGACTTACTTTGAAGTACGAGTTGACGTACTTGTAAATGATGCTGGCAAAGGGGCCCGAGAGGTTGCTCACAGTGGTGATCAGGCCGTACGTGGCGCCTTCGTTGCCCTTGTCGGCGATTTCCACGGCCACATACGTGGCCACGATAAAGCGGAGACCATGGGGAAATTCCTCGGCCAACCCCACTCCATTGAAGAACCACTGGTTACGCACGACGTCCCAGATGGTGAAAAACACGACAAAGCCGTCGACGGCGACCATTCCGAGTGTACCAGCGGCGATGGTCCAGCGCCAATTCCAGTGAAGCCCCCATTTGCCCACGATCACCAAAACAGAAGCAAAAACCATATTACCAAAGACGTCCGAGAGCGCATCGTTGAGAGGTTCGACCCCCGCCCAGTACGTCTGAATTGGTAACGTCGCAGTGGTTTTGACGCCATTGAACACGTTGCTGAGGAATCGGAACAAACAAACTTGCCACAACACGCGACTCTGGAGAGATTCCCAAAACTTGCCCCACCATAGGGAGAAGGACACAGGCTCAGACTTCTTCTCCACAAGAACAAATATCGTCGAGAGCACCACCAGAACACACGGCACCAAGGCAATGCCGTACGGAGCATTCGGCGACAATGCAAACGAAAATGACCCGCCGTAGTTGGGGCCGTTCAGCCCGAACGCACTCACACAGTAAGAGAGGATGCCAGCAATCGTTCGCACGGTGTAGATAGCGGTCTGGATGCGGCCGCGGATGGCAGCGGGTTCACGCTGGGCGTACTCGACCACCATTGCGTCCGACGCACTCGCAGCCAAGACGTACCCAAACGCGATAAACATGGACAGAAGGATGAACAGCGTGCCGTTGTCGGGGGCGGAGAAGTTGAAGTACTGCAGCTCGGGCTCTGGCACCTCTTCCAAAGGCGTAGCGCAATACTTGGTCTTTTCGCGGTTGCAAAATGGCTCGCCGAACGGCGTAAACGCCATCACACTCAGACAGGCCATCGTGATGGCCCACCCGATCAAAATCCACGACTTGCGACGATAGCCATAGATGGGGACGCAATCCGACAACAGGCCAAAGAAGACCTTGAACGACCACCCAATCACAATCAACACCCTGTACGATGACGTTTGGTAACCCTCCAAGTTGAGGTAGACGTTGAAGATGGGGTAACGGAGCGCGGGGATTATGTTGTAGATGATCCCGATGGCGCCGTACTGTATGAACAGGGCATACGCTTCGCGGGAGAACAAGTTCAGCGCACCCCCTTCAGCCAGCGCCCCGTCTTCCAGGTCCTTGGGTGATTTCGCTTCGACGTACCCATCATCGTCTTTGGCCGTGTTCGAGTGGACGTACGACAGGCGTTCCTCCAAGTCCGCCGGCTCCTTGTTACCGTGGCTTGCCATGGCAGCCGTGAAATTGAAAATGAATTGATTGTTGTGCCTCCAGGGATCGATCGATTCCTTGAACGTCACAGGGTAGATCATTCGTGTTAGACAGTCAGCCGTGTAGCGAATAATCACAAACGAGGAGGGTAGAAAACCGTAAGGTTAACGTTATCGATGTAGCGAATAATCACAAACAAGAAGGGTAGCAAATCGCAAGGTTAAACGTTATCGGAAGTATGTCGGGGATATTCTCCAGAAATATCTGTCTCAAAAGCTTGGAATTGCAAGAGGCCAGGACCGATCAAGGTGGTCCATCGTGTGTTGCTGTTGAAGGAATACTACCTACTGTAGTAGTAGGAAGAGTGTAGGAAGAAAAATGCGACAGATGGAAGCTACTTCGAGATACTACATACTCCAGAGTAGTAACGTTATGAGATAATGTTCAGAAAATCTGGATACGTTCATTCACTGTCAGCCCAGACTGAAAACCGTTCACTGTCAAGCAAAATGTCTTCCCGTAACCCTGTAACCCCGGGACTTCATCCTACCCCCGCGTGCACATAGCCAAGATGGGAAGTATAATCCCCTCATTAAAAACTGTTCCACTGTTGTTGTGATCCGAAAACCGTTTCACTGTCAATGAGGGAGTTAATACATCCGGATACACCATTTCGCCAGTAGCCCTGTAACCTGGGACTCCGTCCTACCCCCAGTGAGGACATACGATACTAAATCTCCGGGGTTAAGTGTATCTCAGTGGTTAGCGATTGCTAACCACTAGCGATCTAGTAAGAGGTGAGGGGGTCTGATCATTTACAGTTTCTTAATAACCTCATTGAAACAGTATTTCGGGTCAAACAACAGTGGGACTGTTTTATTGACAGAATTGTACAGATGGGAAGGATGGCGAGGATTACCAGTACTGTACAGTCATTTGTCATACCGGTAGTTATACAGTGGTATGTAATTGTGAGGACGAATGCATCGTCCAACCGATTTGTGTCCTCGGTAGTCGTCGATGGGTAACGTGTCCTCGGTAGTCGTCGATGGGTAACCTGCCTGCCAAAATCGGACTCAAGCGGAAAAACGCGAAGGAAATATGGAAAATCGGACTAACCCATTGAATGTGTGTCGTTTGGTGGTAATTCTGAGGCAACCAGCTGTGGATACAGTGGTATTTGGGATGAACGGACACAATTTGATGAGTAAAACAGAACATTAAGGAAATGATGGTGGGATGGGATAATCTCGACGAGACACTTCAAGTGTCTAAGTGAGTTCAGAGCAACCCTGCGACGTGACAAAAACGTGAGTCATCCATACAATTTGAGGTTTTGAGCATGATATTCATAGATTTATTCGACATAACTCAAAAACTATCCACAATTTCATTTTTGGACATAAAATTCAAATTATTCGATATTTTACTCAAAACCTATACGAGTAGGTCACTGTCAAAACTGTGGGGCTTGCGATGGGAAGCACGGCAAGGGCATGCGACGTTGCTTATCGAATCCACGTAGCCCAAGTGATAATGAACATGGAGTGCAATGACCATTAAAGGAGGTGATATGGACATGCATTTTACTAGTATATACTCACGTCCATTACCATCACCGTTCACAGTCAATTTGGATGAGGAACTCATATTGTACAAAACTGTTGTATAAACTCTACTACAGGACATATGCACCGAGAACGACGCCAAGGAACTCCGTAACGCCAGCGACTGGCGTAAACACCACTGGCAACTGCAGCATGTGGTGGCGACCATCACAGTTACGGCGTGTGTCCTGCGGTACTCAACTAGG